AAGGAAAAAAAGGGTATTGTTAACTCTTTGGGATAACGTTGTCATAAAAGTATATATATTACCTCTTTACAGGAATTTACCATTTAATCGTTATTTTGTATAAAAGAGATTAACTAAGAAAGAGAAAATGTTAGAAATCGACTTTTTGTACTTTTTATTTGAGATATATACTACGTAGTTATTTATTTGTCGATAAATGCGAAATCAGCTCGAAGAGTTAACAAACGTACGTAATATGGCGCCTTTGTCCGTCTAAAACGGAGTCGAAGCTGTGAGTTGCGAAATTGCACACGAGGCAATATATCGATATCGTTTCTCGGTATACTGTCAGACCAACAACGCCAGGATTTAATTATAAACGTCCTTGCCCCTTATAACGAATAACGAAGATAAATACGGTACTGATGGGCGATCGGTGTATCGACCATCGAAATACGCCGGCGGATGAACTCGTGAACTTTCGCCAGTCACGGTTTCGATTCTGTTCGCGGGGGCACGTTTGAAAGAGAGAGAGAGAGAGCAAAAAAAAATATTTGATGCATAATCCGGCGAGAGAGCGAGAGTATCGCCTACGTGCTCCTGTGTCAACGACGCGCTAATTATTCCATCGGATTTTTGATCGAGGACCTTCTCCCGTTCCCTCCCCCCCCCTCTCACCCTCCCCCCCCGCTCGGAATTGAGTGACCGCGTCGGTCGAAACGCCGCGAAAACGTCTCGACCGAGAACTCGAAGCGGACGCGCTTGAGTTTCTGGATATATTCGACAATATATTTACATTAATCGTTAACGGTCTAGTAACGCATACACGTGTATGTAGCTCACTCAATAGCATTTGTTCGTGCTGTATTGTAGGCTAAAATGGATTGGAGGTGAAAGGGATGTTGCATGGGGTGGAGTAATCGCACGGGCGATTTCGTCGAATCATTTGATCCGCGAGTGAGAACGAGAGATGGAATTTGCGATTTCGAATTCGACGCCGATTTATTTTGAGAGTGGCGTGAGAGTCAAATTTTTAAGAGAGATTGCCATTTTTTATATTTGGCTGTTGCACTTTAATCTTTTTAGATCGAAGTCTTAGACCTCTGTTGGTGTAATCTAATCTGCTGGTAACGGTATTTTACACTCTGAATTTATTTCGATGAGACCTTCCAGGGGAATTTGATTTATGCCACTGTCATAATAAGCGGCCCTAAGTCACGAATATGGAAGACGAGGGAAGCGTGTGCCAAAAAAGTAGGACAAATTTCTCTTGCGAACGCGGGACGAGATATTTCGTGTACCCTCTTCTGTTTTGCTCCATTTCGTCCCACTGTTCCACTTTTGGCAGCCTAGATACAACATCTGGAACGTAACGTAATATCGCTGAAAATGAAATCACAATTGGATGGATTCCAGGACGTTTCCCCGAGAATCTCATCAATGCTGGCCCAATGTCCTCAAGATGGAACCGTGGGATCGGATGGCTTAAGCTCATAAAGAGCTTGTGAGAAAGAGGGAGAGAGAGAGAGAGAGCCGTTTATGTGGGAAATTTGTTGAGAGCGATTTGCTTTTTACTGTCGAGAGATTCAGTGCAGCAGTGGACGAAACACTTTTTCTGGAATCGGGGGAAATTAATCTTATATTCGATGCGTTTTAATTTTTCATCTTGGAATTAAATTCAACAGAATCGAGATTAATTTCCTCACAGATTCTCCGAGGGATGTGTTAGGCCATTGTTTCGCTGAAACCTTCGATTACCTTCAGGCGATACAGATCAGGTCGAGTCCGTTTACTATGCTCAAGCTTTCAATAGCGAGGCTCGATCCCGCATTCTCGCTCTGTTCTCCTTCAATTCGGTCGACTTGTTTTATTCTCGCGTACGACGTTAATTTCCGAGCGATGTGATTCGAACAGAATTGCTTCTATAAACGTCGGCAAGGCTCAAGGTCGGAAATTAACGCGACACTCGCGTCGCTCTTCGTCCTTTCCTGGACGTACCGGGAATGCGTTCTCACGTTGCAGTCGGTGATGGCGGAACTTGGGTATAGATAAGAGTGATATGTTTTTTCTTCTTTAGGCAAATTGTGATAGAACGCGATAGGCATGTATGCCATAAGATTGATTCAAGTGACTATTATACTAATTACGATTTTAATTCTCACTTATATACATATATACGAAGCCGATAAGCGAGCGAGTTTTCAGGGTGCGGTTTGCCGCGAGCGATTTACGACAAGCTCGCATCGTGATCATTTCTCCGCGCGTCTGAGCGAGAGAAATGAATTCAGAATGACATCCTTCCTGTCGCTCTTGTAATTTCCAAGCTTGCGTCGCAAAAGCGGATGAAATCTGCTTTAAAACGCAATTTGCAACATTAAAATTTTCATAAAGAGTAAATGTGAATTGCAAATCTGAAAGATTAACTCCTGAAAGGAGAACAAAATTTATATAATCACGATAAAATTAATGCCGACGAGATTGATCCAAATTCTCAACAGTCCAGTTACCTTGGTTTAATTGTTTCGAAATAAGACACTAAGCAACCATTGCAGTTTAGTCTGATACTGACCCCGTGAAAACATCCTGACGAGCAGGTGAACCGCACTCGTTCGACTCTTGCTCGCCTAGAGGCTTCACGTGACATTAGATGTAAGTGTACGATTTAAAGACGCGTATCGTCATGTCGAATCGAGTCCTTCCGGCGGGACTCGGGCGGCTCGCATTCACGGTACTTTTACGACATACATATAATTATATAGCCAAGGTAACATTTACGGCACACATCAGGATGAGTTTTATAGCTGTTGATTATAAAGAGGCTGATTAAGTTTAGATATCGTTCCAGTGTACTCGATACATTTGATATAACGCAGTTAAAGATATTCGTATGGTAGATACGCGTTATTATTATCATTATCACCGTAGTTTTTAAGATAAATATCCCAAAACAACAATTTTGTCCCGTTTTCTTAGACGCGTTTGCGTTCGACGCAATGCTGACGCCACGATGAGATAATAGAGAATAAAACCAGAGTATCCTTTAGAATAGAACGATTCATTATCTCACGACTAAAATTGGATAACGTTATAGGTATCATTGCCATCACATGAACCATCAGCTCGACATCTCCGTTGCTTGTTGTGTAATAATACGGCTATGTAATATTACACGAGAGGGAAATTGTCGGAGAAACAATGAACTAAAAAGAAAATTTTAACTCTCTACATAAATCGATATGTAGGTCATTGGAATGCCGAAGCGAGAATTTAATTTCGCAAAACCGAACCATGCGCGCGGGCTGGCGCGGCGAACCTCGTTGCGGATGGGACGTTCCGCTTACACAGTCGTCGGCCGCGGATCGACGCAGTCGATGGCGGTCTCATATTATACTTATACGTTCGTAGCGAACGACGACGGCAATAAAAGGTAGCAGTTATGGCCTATACACCGCGTGTAGAGACATAAGGAACCGAACATAACACCCAACTGCGTACGTCACACACGAGGTGCCGGCCGAGCCCGCGCGAATGTGTAACTTACCCCCGTTATAACGAGCGCGTCACTGGGACGTGGAATCGAGTCGACATTTATCACACTCGAGAGGAGGACTCGAGAAACTTTCTGTAAGAATAGCAAATTTTTTTATACCGAACTGTCGACCGGCTCCACGTCGCTTTAACGCGCTTCGCTTCCCATCGCGCGTTCGATCAGGATATATATGTTCTCTGTCTGTGAATATCGTTTTCTGTCGCAAACGGAAGTGCTCCGGAAGAGGAGTCTGGAGAGAGCGATTAGCGGCGACGAAATCGGTGGCGTCGCGCTCGCGAACGTGAACGAGACGCGGATGCATGAATCTCTTCTCCCCATCCCGCCCCCTCCCCTCACACAAGCATTTTAACAACGTTTCAAACGAGACCCAATTAGCATAGTGAGATCGTTACGTCTGAACATTGATGTCATCGTTATCGCTATATGATTATCATCACGCTATCCGTCGTTACTATTACCGTCATCGCCGTGACGCGGTGGCGAGGTAGTGCGCTCTATACTCGATATTCTGTGTCGATACCTACACCTAACTGTATATTAACAATGATCACTGTGTAAGGAGTTGAAATTCCAGTATAATAAAATCGCTCTTCATAATCTCGTCCTTCTAATCATTGATATTCCCGGCTTCCGTCTTTACATTCTTAGGAATAAGCAGAAAGTCGACGTCGTTATTTTTTATCACCGAATGCATTCTAATGTATTCTAATTTTATTACTAAATTACATTTTTTTTTTTTTTGATTATTCCCTTGAAGAAAATTAGAATCTTCCGGTTTTTATAAATAGGAATGAAAAGAGAAACAGGTTATACCTAATAATTACTTTTTTTTTTTAAAGAATTTATAATATGTAATAATATAAATTACATATTTTTCTTATAATATAAATTATATATTTTTCTTTCTCTTTAAAGATATCTTTTTCCCTGCGAAGAATACAGTCAAATATCTAATATATTGAATTCTTGTTCAATATAGTTTTTTGTCGATATTAAGTGGTGAAACATGACTTCTCTTGAAGTACATGACGACACATCTGTCCGTGAATTTCGTATGCGCATTTTCTACGAGGGGTGAAGTTAGAGTGCTGAATTTGCCCATCGTTCGACACTTACGGCGAAAACTGATCTACATTCGAACGTCCACCGTAAGTTTGTCAGAGAAACGAGCGATCGGGTTGTTAGAAAAAACTCACGCAAAGTTCTTGTCGTAGATGCACTATACCCCCGTTATCCTAGCATTTACGACAATTTACGAAGTATAATGTATTCGTCCTCCGGACGTACGTCTATTTATTTGTACATTATTTTACGCAATAAATATGTATTCTTTTTTGCGTCCTCAGCCCGCGTCACGTCCTTGCCGCACTTCCAGCTAGATAGTAAGGAATTTTCCTCTCGAATACGATTGTCTTTTTTTTTTTAGACAAGAATTGGAATGAAAATTACGGTTTTAGTACCGTATATAATATTTTTATGTACATAATATTTTTTTTATTGTCCTTTTATAACGTACAATCAACAACGGTAATTTTTTCTTTCTTATTTTTTTTATTTTTTTTTATTTATTTAATCCATGTGCCAGCAATTAGTTCTTACAAGGACACGTTAGACGTCTCGTGGGTTAGTATATAAATAACAGTTTACAGTGAGAATACAATTAGATAGCTGAATAATATTAACAATCTTACAATGTAGAACGTCCGGCCGACATATCTCGGCGTGACATAATAGATCAATAGTGTAGTAGTTATATGCGAGGGAGGGGGGGGGAAGGGGTAACAACGAAGGTTTCACAGAGTAATTTGTAACATTTCGTAAGTAGAGAAATAGCCATTACGCAGGAAAATAGGTAAGATCGCCGAGCGAATATACATATACTTTACGTATCAACGTTAGGTACAATTTTTGTTTAATACTCCTCGTATGTGTACACACGTTATAAGTACTCATCACAGATATGTCGTTGTTCGTGGAACGAAAAGAAACACGAATGGCGACAGCTAGAATCGGCGAGAATATGCACCGGTTGTCCCGAGGACGATGTGTATCAGCAGCAAGACTTTACTCCTAAAGGGTTCGATTTTTCCTTAAAAAAAAAGTGATTTATCTTTTATAAAATCATAACTAACCGCCTTTAATAATTACAGTAAACGATTGACCGGTGATTAATCTGCTTTCTAAAACATATGAGAAATTTAATATAAATTAATTTAAAAGTATTTTTTTTAATTAGAAGATTAATTCTTTAAAAAAATGTAGAGATCATTGTTGCTCTGGAATTCTTTAATTTCAGAAATTCACAGAGCACAAGCTTGAACGAGATATACGTGAAGGTAATAAGAGTATCCTGCCGTTCGTGTGCCCCAACTTTCTTGGAACATCTTGTATATTGTATTGCGGGCATGTAAAAATAATCGAAAGTATAACCGTTTACATCTCGTTGCAAGTAAAACGAGCGTCCCTCGTTGACAGAATGATCCGCGAAGCGGCAAAAAAAAACGCAGTAAAAATGACGAAAGAGATATTGCCGAATTTGTTCGTTTGGCACCAGCAACGTGCCGGAATTTATCTTAGGAAAATATAAAATACGAAAACGCCCCACTATTACGCAATGTTTCACTATTGATACTACGTATCTCTCCGCGACTCTCCTCCGTGCCGCAATGAATATGAACGACGAAAGGCAAATTGTACGCGCCGGTTAGCAACAATCTTAATGAAGACGTATCGCACAACTATACAACTTTTGCTATCCACTAGGTAATGGGGATATTAATGATAATAACGAACACACACACACACACACACGCAGGACGTAACGTGGGCGCTCAGGACTGGGCAGTATTTCAAGTTTAATAACGCAGTTTTGAATTGACACGAAATCATGAGTGAAATGCATAGTATTGCTTTTATCATTCTGTATTCTGTAATTAAATCTTCATATTCTTAATAATGCTTTATTATTTTGTAAACTATAAAATGTTACGGAGAGTATTAGAAAATAGAGTATATTGAATATTTTTTTTGTACCTGAAATACATTTTAATAGTATATTTTGCCCAACCCTGTGGACATAGTTATTGCTGTCGTTGAAATTAACATCGTACGCCGCCTCATTAGAGTTCATATGTTATAATTTATAATTAATAATTTCTTTGCAATAATTATCTCTTTTTTTACATTTATAATGCTTGCCTCGCGATTAATTATGCCTTTTGTGGCGATTGAAAATATGCGTGAGTGCACACGAATATCAAATATCCATATGAAAAAGTTGTTACAATTTTAATCGTGGAAATTTATCTATTATTCTGATAATGAAATAATTAATGGTTATTAACCTCTTTCTCTGGACGTGGAAAAGTTAATTATCTTCATCGTCTTTCATTTTGATTTAAATTTTTTAAGCGAAATTGTAACATTGAACATTCGAAATCACGAAGTGTTGCATTTACTGATCAATCTTAGCCAATATTTACAGAGAAATGTGGTAATGTATACGTTATTACAATTAACAATATTACATTGCTTGTAACAAATCGGTCATTCTCATTTTAGCTTCGTTATTACAGCGAATGTTAGTCACAGCAGGAAGCTGAAAGTGCAACGAGACAATTATTAACCGCTTTCTTTTTCTTCCTCCTTAAGTCACCTGAGTTTTAGTGTTCCGGAAACACATTCTAGGAGAATGTAACTTGTTAGACGACGATCTTTGTGTTGAAACGTTATTTTTTTATTGTAATTCCTAATCCAGGCAATTTAGGGCACGATCGCGAGCGTGTTTCCGTATATCTGTACGTCGCGCGTACGTGTACAAATGTATGTTTGCATAATAGTCTCCGTCCACGTTACGGCATAACAGTCGAACGAAAATGCGCTAGTTGTTTGACTATATAATATATATATATATATTTTTTTTATGTATATATGGAATGTGTGCTTCTACCAAACTGCTAAAAGTGCTAATACATAGATTCTTCACGTCGCCGGGCGCGTACGCCGGCGAGCGTGCGTATAGCTAAATTTACAAGTTCTCTCGAAACTGCTCTCGACGCAAAACACTCGTAATAAACCGCGAAATAGGTCCGTTAGCGGATTTCGTCTAAATTTCTCAATATAAATCCCTGAAGATTTACGAGAGGAATCATCGTCGCCCGTTATTTTTAGGGTTTATCTACGAACGAGAGAAAGGAAAAGAATCGTCCGAAATGTCGTGCGTTTATGCGCGCGGACGCGCAGCGCAGTTGCAGCGCGTCCCTGCCAGCGAGAATCCTAAAATTAAGTCTCTACAGAGCTACGTGAGACCGGTTGCACCATTTTGACTAACGTCTCTTCTAAATAGTTTCGTCATCTCATCAGCGGAGCGATTGTAATTCTGTACATCTTGAATGTATCAAGTACTTTTAATTGATCCTCCGAACGACGAATTTAAATTTGAGCTAACGTTTTAACTGCCAGAGTTTAACATTGCAGATCGAAAGATAGTATTTTTTTTTTAATTACGATTGAAGATCAGTTCAGATCAAGGATGACGCGGTCCGGTCTCGAGAGATATGTGGTCGTGGAAAAATGTGCATCGCTTTCGAGCGCAGTTCGTAAAGTTTTCTGCACATTTTGTACTTGGGTCACCGCGCGCGAAACGTGCGATATAACTTTGGCGCGGTATTGATTAATTTTCACGGATAGGTCTCGGGGAATCCAACGTGTTCTCGTGGTGTGCGCAACGGCGGCGTGCTTTCTCGCAATGTGCGAGGAACTGTATAACTCTTAATTACGACTTTATTATCGATAATCTACAGAACGCAGGGTACGCGGGAGCTCGTCGGTGAAACGAAACTTATGTAATTCAAGGTCCAATCGAATATTTAACAAAATTGACATACGCGCACAGTAAAATGCAAGGCAAGATTTACGTAATTTAACTATTGCGAGTTAACTGTGCTCGGAAGTATTCTCATCTGCAAAAGAAACTTTTTTTCTTCTTAAATATTTCAAGTGGGAGGGAAACTATCTAGTAGGGAAGATTTAATTAACGGAGAAGCAGATTTGAACAATTCGAATATTATGCATGGAAAATAAAACGTTTTGTTGACACAGTTGCGTTTATCTAGAGGCGCGAAAAATAGTTATCCTATTGTGGTGCATGATATGTAAATTGTTCAAATCCATTCCATTCCTGTGTGTGCTCGAATCCTTCGTCTCTCCTGTGTATTTCGATACGCCGTATCGTCACGCGACTCCCTTCGCGGGCAAATCAATTTTTTCTTTCGCGAGCAAACAAACAGATACAGCATCTTGCGCGGCCTATGACCGATCCCGTAGTCGAGCCGATCGCCCCTCGGCGAGATCTTCGTGGCCGCATTTCTTCGGATTCGCTCGAGAATCATTTAATCGTAATTCTCGGACTCCTGCTGTACCAGCTTGAACCGGCGCGGGCTCTTCACGTACATGGAACCGTGGGGCCCCTCGAGGGAGAGGCGGCCCTTGCGCTGAAGGTACGTGGTGATGTAGCGTGCGATCAACTTCTGCGGTCGCATCTGCCATTCTTCCAACACTTCCTTGGGCGCCAGTACCTTTTGCAAATCATGACGATCGATTAGACGTGACTCTCAATCGATTCAGAGAGGAATCGAGCGTGCAACAGCTGCATCTCATGCAATTCCAATCGTTATTCCAACATATTAATTTGTAACGCAACAGAAACAGCAACTGAATAAATTGGCAAGCTTTACGTAATCGCCGCGATATTTTGCTCTTTAATAATTTCGTGCTCGACGGGGGCAATGTGTACTGCGCATTTCGCCTCGACGCGAAATTATCACAGTTTCGCAAAGTGCATATAGGTATGTAGATGAGAATACAGACGATGTATAACGGCGCGCGCGATGAGTTCGCGCTGTTCGTGACGCGCAAAGCCCGTGTGACGCGGCATATATTGGATTCCTCGCGCACAAGAGCTCGAAAATACTGTGGATTAACGTATACCTGGTCGCCTTTGAGTCGGTCCAACAGCGTCACGCACACGACGGCGGACTGGATGCCGGCGTGGTGTGTCAGCGCGGCGAAGCAGAGGCTCTCCATCTCGATGTTTACCACGCCGGCCTTCTGCAGCTTGGTGAGGTACTCCATTTTGTCGGCCTCGCTGAACTCGCAGAACGCGCCGTCCAGACGACCCTGGCCCTCGTAGAAGTCGTTCGAGCACATGGTCTTGCCGATCACGGTGTCGTACGGATCGTCGCGGTGAGCCAGAGTCTTCAGGTCGCGGGCTAGCTGACGGTCGAGCTTGGCTGGTCGGCGCACCAGTTTTCCGAGCACCAACTGCAACGCGTGACACTCTCGTTTAACATTAAAACTATCGACGATTAATTTATAATATATTTAAAATATACTCTACCTATACATATATATCTTTTTGGAAAATGAAGGAAGAAAATAAATTTGATTAATTTTAATTACGTATTCCAACAAAAGTCGCGGAAAATTTTAGAAAATACATTGTAATAAATTTGAATACTTTTTATAAGTCATTTTAAGTGCTTTGATATTTTAAGTGTTGAAGAGCGGGTGGGCCTAACGTCACCTAGATCTAAGTTCCTCTGTGACTTATTTTTAGTGTTAATTCTTTCAATTTTTTTTATTTTGTAAATCATAATTACGTATGAAATAGTCTGCGCGACAGACAAAATTTAGTTAATTTGTTAAAAAGAATAGAAATATGACAATATGATGGGCTTTAAACTTATGTTGAATTTTTTTGCTCGTGTTTTTATTTTACGTACGGATTTTGTAAACCACTAACCAATTCCATATAAGGTTTTATCGTTTCATCGAGGGCTTCCTCCGAGATGATTACCGTACCGCCTTCGTAGCCGATACCACCGCAGGTGCCGATCCTAATGAAGACTGGGTCCTTTACCTTCGCGTGATACATCAGCTTGATAACTTCGTGAAGCAGAATGCTAACCGAAGGTATACCCATTCCGTGCTAAACAGATAAATTTAATTAAGATAAATTTCTTTTTAATCCTGTTTTTTTTTCAAGTTTTCTTTCTCATATAGGACTTTAGTAATATTTATCAAGTACAATATAAGTACAAGTAAGAAAAAAAAATCGACTACTATGTTCCGACATGCGTCCTGTATATTAAAAAAAAAGTCTGCGACGATGCGACTTTGCTCGTAAAAACGCCGAGACATTTCTGCCGTAAATAATTGCTTCCAACAACGCGGCGATTGCGTCCTGAACTCCGCACGGCTCGCTCGGCATACCGCGTGCGTAAATCGTGCGAAGCGAGACGATGAAAAACGGTTTGATCGTCCAGGCGTGTAAAACCGCGTAGGTAGGGTATTACAACGGCGGAGTGAGGCAGGTGCCGAGCGTGATTAGCGTGGAATGCTAGCGAATTCTTCTGCATGCCAAGAATGAATTATCTATCTCGCTGTGTCGGTCGCGCCAACCTTAGAGATACTAAGGATACTGCGATATATTTTTTTAAAGTATCCTGTTTTTTTTTAATAGCATGCATTATTTATTACCGCGATGCACTCTGCAGAAACATATTCTATTCTATGAATTATGGCATGACGTTGACATTGTTTTTTTTTTTAGTATCTTTAAAATCAGACTTTAATATACTTTTTTGACGTTTTGTTAAGAAATGAAGCTCAACGCGGTATTGCATCAACGTTATTTTATTATTCTCGAGATCTTTAAGAAATTCTATCGAAATATTAATTTTGAAATTAATGATTTAATTTTTTTTTAAATATCGATGCCTATGTAACTATAAAAATGATCTGATACTACTTCTATCTGGAGCGTGGATGAAAGAAAATATCAATCCATTCGAATCATGCGCAATTAGTCACGGCTTGAAAGGATAACAACTTTCAAGCGTATCCCGAACACGTTCGTCTCATTAAACAGCCGTGTTAAACAGGTAACGAGTCAATTATGCAAAAGTAAATTTGCTCGAAACTTGGCACCGTAGGGTTTCCAGTGTATAATCCATACCACATTCCACACTCACAGTAGCGCAGTACGAGGCGCTTTGCAGAGTCGAACTACTTGGCCGTCTACTTGACCTCGCCGTTTTCTCGATAATTAATCGACAAGTAAAATCTGTCGTCGAAGGGAAAGAATGTTCCGCGTCGAAAGAAACGTTTTCCAAGTAGAGATAGACTTACGCTGATAGAGAGAACCGGGCCAACTTTATACATCGAGTAGCGGTAGGAATTTTTGGTGATGTCGAGAAGGGTCGTTCCGGCCGGCAGCTTGTGACCTATCTCCTTCATGATGTAGTTAGCGAAGTGCTCCATCCTCTTCGGCGTTCCGCCCATGCAAACGAACTGTAGCGTAACGAGAGAAAAGCGCAATTACATTAAGTGATTTCTGATGGGAAAAGAAGAGAATAGAAGTTGGCCGTTAAAATAATAATCGTTAAACTAATATGTAGTTGGAATAATAAGTGGCTGAAACAATGCGATCGACAGAGAGAGAGAGAGAGAGAGAGAGAGAGAGAGAGAGAGAGAGAGAGAGGGGGGGAGAGGGTAGCAAGGCGAATTCATCGTTAAAGTGATGTGACCCGAATCTTCAAGCGGCCTGATTCATCTTAAATGTCAAAGATCATTGGTTACGATAGTAAAAATAAACGAACGGCGGCGGCCGATGGTGTAATCGCACGTCATTGAAATATATTTCGCGATTTATTGATGCTGACAGCACGAGCGTATCGCGTGACATCGGTGTAGTGTCGTGCGGTCACGAGTGGTGCGTAGGTCCCCGTTTCTGATCCTGATCGAACGTCAAGTGCAGAAGGCAAGGATGCGTTGACTAATCGATTATTGACAAACGTAATAAATATCATCCGTCGGCCACTGTCTCTTATCACGGGAAGTCAGTGGCTCAATATTTAATAAGTGTTGTAACATCTTACGTCACATACTGTTCTGCCATTCGTGTACGATAAGTTTAACGTAACTGTATAGATGAAAAGAAGAGTAATTATTATAAATTTTCTAAAATTACGCATTGATTGAAAGGAATCTTCGAAAAGTACAAATTAAGAAACAGAGAGACTTTTTTCTATCCAAATTTTTATATTATTTATTTACGAATTATCTTTCTAATTAACAACAAAAGATAAACGTAAGAAAAACATATGTACGATATGCTGTACAGATATCGCGGTATCTCTCACAGTGACGATAATTATTGTTTGTGTAATTATTACGTCACTTATGTTTGACCAAAGAAGCTGTATTTAATATTTACCAGCGCGTATTATGTCATCGTTGTGAGATAACAAGGAAAAAGTATAATGCCGCTTAAAATATAACATATTAACGAGGAAAAAATGACGATAACTCGTGGCAACAACGTAATATGCTTCTGATAATGGGGCATAGTTTGAGTCATGCACAATAATCTAACATAAAGATATATAAACATTTAATTTAATAGAACTATGCATTTTCCAACTATATGTTAACAATAATAATATATTTGCTCTTTGTCACAATGTTCTTACAGTATATTATTGCAAATTGCAGATATTTTGGTAGATAACGATCCATATAAAATATCAATAACAACTAAGCCATTAAATTAAAAGTGATTAAAAATAAAATTCTTTGTATATTAAACTTTGGACGTGGAAATAAATAAATCTTGTGCATTTAGAACATTTTAGTGGGTTTTACTTTAATAGACTTTTAATACCGTGCTTAGCTGTCAATATTGAATGTCACTAAGCCTTGAAAATTTAAAAAAAAATTGCAAAAAGCGATGGCGTCCAATTAAGTTTTCGTTAAGTGGAAGTAGGACGTGAAAGTATACGCCAACGAGGTTTGTCCAAGTATAGTATTTCAGTTAATACAGTAAAGAAGAGTTTCTTTACTGTAAATATACCTCATCCCTTTGTGCAAATATAATAGAAATTTATTGGACTTACCTTGACGTCACCGAACATCTCAACCAGATCGTGGGAGCCGCTGCCGAGTGCGAGATGGTACAATATGTCCTGATCCATGAGCTCGATATTGGGGTTTCGTAATCGTACGGAGCCATCGCTGTACCTGTGAAAAACGAAGAGCGTTTCACTCGCGTTTTAAATGTTATACGAGTATTTTAAACCGTTACATTCTATATCAAAGAGCTTTTGCATGGTCGTTAATACAATAAAATATTTAATACAATAAAGGAATAACTTCACCGCGAAATGGTTAACGTTGCAGTATTGCGGTGTATCATACTGCAATTACATCAAAATATTTGATTTCCATTTCCGCAATATATTCCGCGCTGCGAATACATCGCGTCCGCATTTACGATAAACAATACAATTGCCTGAATTTGTGCAGGTACAATTAGCGTTCAGAATTGTTGTAACTGCGATGTTTGAATATAACGCTGCTTAAATTGTCATCGTATCTCTCTATCACTTAGTGTCAATTTAAGCACGAACGTTTAGACACGTAACATTTTAGTTTGATAAAAAAAATCGGCTATTGGGTATAATAAGTTATAATTTCCTACTGCTTCTTCGTGATGCCGTTAAGCACGAAACGATCTATTGCACGCGCCTTCACATGCCTACTGTGTAAAACTCGGCGTTTGCATAGCCTCCGGATTATCGCGTGGCACGAGCGAGCTCTCCGATTAAATTGCAGTGATGGCCTTTGACATCGCGACGTCACGAATTTGATTCTACGGCGGAGCGAAAGGACGGGCAATCGCATCAGCGTCGAAAATTGACTTTGTTAATGCACTCCTAAAGCTCTAATCAGTTCCGATTCGCCGAGGGATTCGCGCATCGTAATTAAGTCATCTCCGTTCAACGACCGAATAATTGTATTTCGTTTCTGACGCCTACGGCGATCGGAACGTATCCGACGGTTCCGATCGTAGATAAAGAAATCCCTCCCCCCTCTCTCTCACCCTCCCTGCCGCGCGACATGCAACAGTTTGAGATATTTATGGGAAATGTCGAAACAATTCAACTTGCTGCTCTGACATGCAGATCTAGGAATAAAAATATAAAGGAATTTAGATTGTCGTCGGAAGCAATATCTCTGGCAAAGATATCATACTTCAAGTACGGAAATGGGTCAAAATGGAAGCCGCCACGAAACTGAACGGAACAGCGGAGGTAAACGGCTGTTTGCCTCGTCTTAAAGCTCGCTGGATTGTTTGCCTTATTCCAGACTACCTCGAGAAGTTTTCTATGGAAGAAAATACTCGTCGCGCCTCGATAGTTCCAGGCTCGACCATTGTTTCCCGGGCGCGTGACACCGCCCGACAACGTAAATGTATACAGTACACCCCTTTAATCCCTGGCAGACTGTTATCGACATCGGCTTCGATTTACGAACGCGGACGTTCTATTAATCCGTTTAGTTACGCGACGGTCGCCAACGGACAGTATTACATATTTGTTATAACTCTGGCACGTCTATTATGTGTAACCGTGTCCGGAAGAAAACATCTGTAAACGCTTAGCACAATGGAGTTTCTCTTCACAATCAAATATAATCGTTTATCGCCAACGGTAGCCAATGAATGCATGTCAATTTATCGAAATTCAACAACGTCCATTTTCTCATGTGAAAAATTTTCACATTCGCGATAATAATAGAATCTACAAAAGCTATCAGAGACACTTGTTTTAGTAAAATTCCCAATCAGATATTATTTTTTAAATTGATTTCGACTTTTCGATCATATGTCGCACGAGGCGATTTAACTGACGTCCGAATCTTTCTTGTTGCTTATGGATGAGCAAAGAGACATCGTCCGAAGAGGATTCGTGAGATGCGTTCAATATTCAATGAGACAAATATAATCATAGGAAAATCTACGTTACAGTGTTTGATCTTCTTGTCTCATCATGTGTGTGCGACTTGTAACACTGTACACGTTGTAAGGTCCTCCTGAGAAATTTCGCATGCATAACCAGTGAAGATGTTCACCCATTTCCATCTAAATGTCTCACTATGCATGTAAAATATTGCAGGGACTATCGTGTTTGTGCGCCTTCAGACATAAATTGATGATGAGTATGAAATAATTATCAAGTAAATTCCGCGATGTCTTAATGGAAATTTATAAGATTCTCGGCAACAATTTTTAATTCCCAACGATGTGTTAGTTAATTTATTCTGCTGATCGAGCCTGGGATTACGTTTCTGGTAAAAAGTAAAGTTGAGCTGAAATTAACTGAGTAATAAGTTCCGATATCCAGATCGAGTTAATAAAAGTAAATAAAGGAGTTTTAGAACTGATTAAACTTTTAATATTGCGGATGCGATGAAGCTTCTTTCTGCAATTTGGATTATAATTTCAATTAATTCAATTTAATTGAAATTTCAAAATATCTTGTTCTTAGTTTAAATTAGAGAATTAGAAAGTTCTGATAAGCACGGTCTTACTTATCTTCGAGCGTAGACGGTCCGAACAAGAAATTTCTTTGAGCCGTCCTCCCCGTCCTCCGTTATTAAATAACAATCAAAGGAGAGAACCAGGTGTATAATCTAATATCCGACCAGTCGCGTCTTTTTTATCTCTCAATCGCAGCTGCGACTGATTCTCAACCGTATTAGGAGATCAAGAGATTTCTTCAAATTCTTTATCTCCCTTATCTTCGTAATTGAGTAAAAATCGAAGAAAGTCCCCTAAGAGCAAGCTCCTAATCTTTTCAGTCATTTTTTTTTCAGCTACCTGTTGCCAGTCATTATCAACTTGATACACGTTTTAAAACATTCCTGTCGTTTTTTACCACCCGTGAGTATCTACGCTCGAGGAAAACGACCCAAGGTTCCCCGTTTTGCGTTATCTATCCTTTGTATGACTTCGCGACGGGGTTTCCATTATTCTCTTTGCGCGAGCTCGACAGAAACTACGCTCACACGCGCGAATAATATAGGGAATGTGAAGATACACAGTCTCCTGTCTACGGAGTTGCGTTCGCCATATTTCCGTTATTGCTATCGCAAGACACAACCGTGCGTCTTCGTTTCAGAATAGCGTTATCGTTCGACGTCTCTTCTTCGCTGCATCTCGTATAATAACTTTACGTGCGTCGCTCGTATTGAAGAAAACAACTGAGTTTTCTTACCTTATGCAGCACATATGATAAATGTCATGAAAACAAATGCATCTTTTACTCTATAAGTAAGGGATTATTATTTCTGTGTCTTTTCTCCCTGCGTCTGTATTGCGCAAGACAACGTAAATTTAAATAAACTCTTGCTCAAAGTAACAATTTCATTAACGTGCACAATGCATATTATTTGCATATATGATGTTAATAAATCAATTGTATGACAATTTACTTGTAATTACATAAAATGTCGATGTCGACGTTACGATCTATATGTACTATAATATTACGATATTCTATTAAAGGATTACTAATGTTTGGCACATAAATGATACAAGAGAAATTATTTCATTTTCAATTTATATATATATATATATATATAAATAATAATATATATATAATAATAAATAATAAATAATAATATATATATAGTATATACATATAAAAGATATATATATATATATATATATAGAAATGTATCAGTATTCGCGCGTGTAATCCTTTATCGCCGGCATAGCCAATTAATGCATGTCAATTCGTCGAAATTCAACTATGCGAATTTTCTCAATTCGCAACGCAAATTCAATAACGTCCATTTTTTCATGTGAAAAATGTTCACATTCGTGACAACAATAGAATCTGTAAAAGCTATTGGAGACACTTGTTTTAGTAAAATTTCCAATTTATTTTATGTCGTTTTCGTAACGTGAAACACGTGAACGGAATTTTCTGTTCACGTGTTTCACGCTCATTTTATCTTTATGGTTGATGGTTGAGATAGTAAAAGAACAAAGTGACGCATAGCACTAATAGTTATACGCTCTTCGAAGGCAGTATATTTTTACAGTCTATTTTTTTCCGAAACCGCAAAGATAAATGCAGAGACTTGTAGCTATAATTAAACTTATATGCGAAAAATGAAGGAGAGAATTTTTCCGGTAAGTCACGGCCGTTTGGCACTATCCACAAGTAATCCCTGTGAGGAGAATCGATTCTTGCGGTCAGTTGAGTTTCTGTTTGTCGAGACCCGGCTGCCAGTTCCCCGTAGAAAGAAAGTATCTCGTCTAACCGAACTGCCTGTATACTACCTGATCTCCCTGTCGTGTAAGCCCGTCTGCCAACTTTACGCAGAACAAACACGATGATCCAACTCCGTACATCGTAAAATGGGATTCAATTTAACGGAATCAAATGGAAAAATGTGGCCTTTTTCGAACGTCAATCTACTTCCATACTCGTTGCAATGCATTTCCTATACAGATTCTGTACAGTTTCGACAAGATTAAATTGACTGCGATACATCAATAAATAATTCTTGTTGCTTCGGTAAATTTAATTTACTCGATGAAATGAAGTTTCACAGTTGCGTTAATAATTCATATTTAATCGCACGTGCATCTATAATTTTCAAATTCGATCTTTCGACGCAATGACGACTTGTATAAAACAATGTTATATATGTATATAACATTTTATTAATTAGTTCTTATATGAAGAGTCGCTCTCTTTTCAATCAATTACAAATTCAAGCCATATATGAAATTCATTTGAATATATAAGTGAGAGTTAATTTATTAATTTGAAAAAAATAAATGACATGCGATGACGGTTGCGTAATTTGATCAGGTTCGTGATTCGCCGTGCGTATAATTGTATTAGTATAAAATTCTGTATTATAAACTGAATTTGTTTACAAATTACTTTTCGATAAAGTACTTATTTTTGAAAAACAAATTACGATTAGGCCAAACTAATGAGCTTATTTAAACGGATGACAGCGTTTTTTATTACAACAAAATCTCTAATAGCTATAAGCATTATACACAAAAAAGATCAACGCTATGCATGATACATGTTTCGATCCATATTGATCCATATCTCCGAAGATTTCAATCGCATTACTTCGACGACTTCTCACAAATTTTCAATCACATTCTTATTAAAATTTACTCTACGGATGTAACGTATTAATTTATATATTATGGTTTAATATTTTATTTGCAATTCGTTGAGGTGACTGAAGAAGATCAATCTAATTGTAAGTCCATGTACCACGTACAGCGTAGATCTTTTTTATGTATAATGCTTATAGCTATTAAAGATTTTGTTGTAATAAAAAACGCTGTCATCTTCGTTTAAATAAGCTCGTTAGCTTTGCCTAATCGTAATTTGTTTATTCGAGTTTGCGATGAAAATTGAAAGGGATCGCGAGCTGCGGTTTCTCTGAACTTAAACCGACTCTTACGTACTCGAAACGAGACGTTTGCAGGGTGATACTTTCCAGTTTTCGCGCTGCCGGTAAAAAAAAGCGCCCCTACCTAACCGGATTGGCGTACTCGGTGGACTCCTCGACCTTGTCCTTCACCGGTAGCTTCAGCGAACAAACGTGCTCCTCCGACTCGTCCAGAGTCCTGTTCTGACAGTCGCACGCCGGCATCAGGAATCTTTTTCAAAGCACGAATTGCACCACCACGAAAAATCGGCAGAACGGTCGCGCGATTTCCGGTGAAGATCTTGAAGACCTCTCGATGCTCCCGGGGAATTCCGGTGGGATCACTTCGCGACGTCCGTTGACGTGAGCGATTAATCAGATAGCGCGATATGAGTCGTGACCGAAAGCCGGAGCCGGTCGACGGTGTCAAGAAATAATAAGTTGGCGGCGACCACGACGAGGACCTTTATACGTCGCTCGGAACAGGCACCGTGCCATCGTTCCCACCACGTCGCCGCCAGCCGCGGCTGCCAATCGCCGGACACGTTCTTCTCGTCACACGGGACACTCGCGTAACCGGTCGCGATAGCTGACCGGTGCAAGTGCAAGTTGCAGAGATGCGGAACGTCGCGTGTCGTGTCGATTCGCGCGACTACAGGTAGAACGCACGTACGGGGTGTCTGGCGGATTGGGGTGGTTCAAATGACTATAAGCGATAAGTACACGTTATTCATGGGCAGTTTCAAAGGCCAAATTTATGCGACTAAAACTTTACCGCTTTTGAATCTTATTCGAACGGTCAAATCTGTGGTAAAGATGAAATTCTTATCACGCATGTGATAAGAATATACGCAGTTTCTTTTCTCATGCTTCTAACTTGTCGCGAGATCGAGTGTCGCAGTTTCGATTGGACGGCACAAAATGTCGTTGCGCAATGTGAAGTCACAGCTACATCTTATTTTAATTTGCACATCAAATCGAATGCCTCAATTAAGCATTCCGTTTATATCGCCAGCCATTTCGTCATTCCATCGACCGACAATAGCTGATTGCAGGGCTCTTAATAGCCCGTTTAATTGGCTCCATGTGAATACACCAGCTTCCTCCAATCAATAATAAAACAACACTTCAACGTTAGCAAACATCAAAATTAGTACGTACACATTCGATTTGTAATTTGGAGTAAAGGCATAGACAAACTATTGCCGTAATTTTCTCGACCTCTATAAATTTATATTTTCTGAAGTGTCGTCTAAAATTTTTATTTACTACGTAAACTTCTTGTAATGTAATATATAAATCAACGTTCTAAAGTTCGACATTTCTGATAGGAATTAATAATCCGTGTCACGTGTCTCTCGACTGAAAACTAGGTAAAAGTCGAAACCACATCGAAGAGCACAATCCGTGAACTTTGCACCCCGTAAACGTCAGTCATCTTAGGTCGATCTCGAACGGAATTGCGTTCATCGAATTTTTCGCGTTTCGCGAGCTAGAACCGCAAATAGCAGCGCGGTTGAAATGAAATTCACCGTTTCCCTTTCCGCCAGACCGAGAAATTGGAGTTATTCTTGCGCGCACTATAAGGGTCACCGGAGACCGGTTACGTAACCAACCCTCCCCCGAGCCACGATTGCACTGCACCTGCCCGCTCCGCGGAAACATAGTTCGGGGCTCTTTTATTTCCGTTTGTGTGACCATTTCTTTTTTGGCGCGTGGGCGTGTTTCACCGCGGGCGATCATGGGGGAGGATGAGTTTCATTCGCGATGCTTCCCCCCCCTGCTCCCCCTCCCCGAGCAATTGGCTTATAAATTGTTCCGCAGCTTTCCGCGGGGTATCGATAAATAAATGTCATCTCGGCGAGCGCCGCGCCGGGCTGCGCGCTTTCTTAAATAACGCTCTGGCGAACCACTTTAATTTCCGCCGTGCGTTTCGAACCGTTAAACGCGCGAAATTTTATATTGCGATAATAAAGTACTGTTTTTGTACATTTAATGATATTACTATTTTTTTTATTTCATTAGAGGAACTATCGTAATTTTTTCCAAACGCTAAAAATACAATTTATAGTGTCGCATTAATTTTTGGTGAGAAATTCTTCGACTCTCTCGTATAAATATAAAATTCAGCGAGAAGTCCCATCACGATGTATCCGACAAGTAAATCTCTCTTCTGGCTGTTTAATTATATATGTTCCTAATAACGTACGCGGATCACTTTTCTTTCCGATTTTTATATCGTGTCACGGTCACGAAGAGATAAAAACTTCCCCATGTTCTTGGCACTGGTAATAACAGAATCGACGATGATCTCACGATGTCGCGCGACAGATGTTGATGTCTTCCGTATTTTCGAAGTTCGGCCGTCGTTTATTTTGTCGCGATTATAATCACTTCACGAAGAGAAAAACATTTTCATGTACTAATATTTCATAATTCGTGTGTTATTATTCGTCACAACTCGTTATACAAAGTCTCGCGAGATGAACCGGAGCAATATGAACGGACAGAAGTCGCTCGACAATCTTCGTACCAGCGAGACGTGATCGCTGAATCGTCGCTACTTTTAGATCGCCGCGCTGATGCGAACCAACCAGCATCATCTACTCTACTTGCTGCGTCAGGTGCATCACTGCATTTGAATCGTCTTTTGGCAAGCGGAACGTAATCGGGATAGGTGCGCAAGCTCAGAAATATCTACACATTTGGTATCTATACATTTTCGGTGCAGATCAATATGAATAGATATGTATAGCTTAATGAAATATCAATAGCCTTGCCTAACGATTAACAAGATTCATAATTAACGATTGAAAAGAAAGCAATTTCCTGCGAGCTAAATTTAGAAAGAATGTAAATAACAAAGTTAGATTTTTTTCACTGAATTCAACATTTTATTTTATAACATAAAACGATAAATTGTATTTTTTGTCTCGATAGATAATGAGATATCATTTAATTTTACATCACTCTAATACTGTTCTAATAAAGTCTTAATTCTGTATTATATGTATATTAAATATATTAGATGCGAAAAAATTATCTTTCCTCCTCTTATTTCTATTAAAAATAAGCGATTAATAATAATAGTAAAATCGCACTCGTATTGCGAAATTTACATTCAGATTGAACATTGAACAGTTAATTATATCAAGTTATAAGTAACAAAACTTATGTGAATAAAAAGATTTCTTTAGAAGGAACTTCTCAACTTTGATTAAACTAATTCTTATGAGAAATATCCGTCACGCGGTCTTCTGGAACACACATTTATCGCACAATTGATAAAGTATGTATACGCCAAGATATCCATTATCGAATATCTAACAGAGTACATTTTTATTAAAACCAATTACACGTTCGAATTCATTATATAGATTATGACACAGCAATCATAAAGATTAATCCAATCTAGAAATACACTAACGTTTGATTTATTTTTATTAAGAATAACCGATATAAGATACTGTTAATCTCGCAACATCTTAAGCGTAATCTAACTAGATGATAAAACTAACAGTCATAAACATAGGATTATGATAAAATGGAATATACCGTCAGTATTTTTGTTTACGAGAGTTTATTAAATTATCCAAATTATTAATAATATATTTATCATTAAAATTGTTTCTTAAGCTTCACGGGAAACTTGAAATTGAAACAATGCATTATTGTACCATTTTCTCAAATTAATTCAATCAATAAGGTCCGAATGATTTTCAATTTAATTGCAAACGCGTGTAAATCTCTTTCCGCTCGTGTTGACTTCGCTCCCGTTCCACTTATTTCAAGCTCGTTTTTCCTCCGCGAGAGAAGCGGCGGCCCCCCGTACGCAGCGAACGATCACGTTGTCGTTTCTTTTGCCCAACAATTTCAATTTCGCTTCCTATATATCGCACGCGCGATGCGCAACAATCCCCCCCCCCTCCCGAGCGCGCTTTTAACAGCGTCCATTCACAATGAATTCCATTTAATGGCGTATGAATTGAATAAGCCGTATCGTTCCACACCAGGCAATGAGACACCCCGGTGCCGCAGTAATATCGTCTCGCAACTGATATCCGATATGAGCCAAGTCGATATCTCGCCGCGCCAAACTTCGGAGCTCGCGATGCGTGTGCGATCTGCGTTATCAGTCAGTGGCGCGCGCGAACGCAGCCTTGCATTCTCGTATATGTAATTCGCGCCTAACGCGAATCGAGATCGACAATTATGTAACTGCGGTGCTCATCGCGAAACGTATAATGCAATATGCGTGATCCGCATTATGAATGTCAACACAGCATAATGAGACGTGTCATTAGCTCCGAAACCGCTAACGGGACAATCATTACCTAGCCCGCCAGGATGTGATGCGAGATACCATCGGCATGGCAAGCACACGCTGAACTTTTTGAACACTAATTACATTATACGTATAATTTTTTAAATTCTTTTGAGATTCCATGTTATAAGAAAATAAAATTATATTAAATTATTGTCGTAATTATCAATTTAATAATCAAACATTAATTTAAACGCCCACGTTTAATATATACATATACGCATAATAACTTTTAATAATACATCTCCCTAAAAGCATGCGTCTTATCTCTATTAAATATTTAATATAATAAGATTATTTATGTATTTTATATAAAACTAAATTCTACTTCAGAGGCAAAAATTAATTTCATTTCTGCGAAAAACGCTTATTTTCCTGTTTTCTCCGTAATTCTCCTTAAAATTAACGCAGTGCGGGATGTATAATTCACAGGAGCCGTAGATACGCAGAATTATGAAGCTGTAGAATGCAAACACTTTTCAATGTATGAATAACTAAATTTAATCCATATAAAACTACTGTAACACATATTAATTTCATCGTACCACTTCCACGTTATTAACAGCGCAACTCTGTGCCGTTCGTTATAATCTAGATTCGTATGAAAGGCAGATTTCTCCAGTTTTCATTTAATTCGCAACTGAAACACAGAGAGATAAGTGCGTATAACGGGATAAGCGAGAACGAGAGTTATGTACATATGGTCGGTGCAAGAGTGTTTCCATGAATTGAACTCACCTAACACAAGTGCGCGAAATGTGTTTGACTATCGCACATGGAACATTCGAATACCCTAATTCGAGATCGCTTTTATGTGACCGATGTGCCGGTATTATGCAGAGAACGGTGTTATCACGTTGCTCCTGACCTCTGACCTCATTTTCGCACACGAGTTTAAAGTGGCACCAGTCATATGACGCGTTAAAATATGAAAGCGCGCACGACACACACGTCGTTTCCACGAATTCAGGGATATACCACACAAAATTCCTTGCGATTCCTCGCGGCACGACGAAGCGCCCTTCCTTCTTTCTCTCTGTCGAGAGACAATCGACACGTAAAATCAAAAGCATACAAAATTCAATTCGGAT